TGAAAAACAAGCAGCGAATAACTGGAAATTTATGTTTTTAAATTGTGGAATTATCGTTGGGAATAATTTTTTCATTCAAAACAAATTTCTAATTTGTTATTGATTTTTTTTTTATTATTTGCAAATGTTAATCAGTTGTTAAGACCAGTCTATAATAAATCACAATCATAAGTTTTAAATTTAAAGAAATTTTCAGAATTATAATATTATTAGATAATTGTCTAAAATTTTACATTTATACAATACTGATATTAAAATTTAATATCAATAAGATTCGATTAAAGTTTTGAATAAAGTTTCCTTTATATTTTGTTAAACACAAAATAAAATCCAAAATAAAATAATTATAATAAATATTAAAAGATATTAAGATAATATTAATAAAAATATTACTTATACTTATAAAGTATAATAATGATATGAATAATAGTTTAATATATTGATCAGAACTTTAAGTTCTTTTTGTATTTTCCTAAATATAAGAAGAAAAAGAAAAATAAGATCAAAAGTTAAAATAAATACAGAAATTATAAAATATTGGTATAGATTGATATAAATTTAATCTTAATATGATTTGACCAGAACTTTTATTTCTTTATCATACTTCTAGCATATTGATATATAATTCCTAGCAATCAATGAAAATCTAGATTTAGATCTTATGATCTTCTTTTGATTTATTATAAACTGGTCTTTTTTGTGAAATTAATGTTATCAATATCATGCAATGTGGTAATGTCGTTCGCTGGAAATTAATGGCTTTACAAAGAACGCTTTAAAAATTGTTATTTTGGTAAAAATTGGAGCCTTAACTTTATTTTTGTATATAGGAATTTTTTTACAATATATATAATATAATATATATATAATATATATATATATAGCTTCGCAGAAATCTGTTTTTTTTATCTTCACATTCGTTATTATTAATTCTTAGTTGTTAGAATTTTTATTATCATCGTCATCTGTATTTTTATCCCCCATCAATGTTTTTATTTATATACGTCGAACAGACGATCATAAGAGCGAAAAATCCCCACTTTGTATATAATGACCCGATAATTATTCCCTCTTTGAAATTGCGAAACGACTTTCGATGAAATACTATTATTAATTTTCTCCTCGTAATAATATGTACAGCTAACTGTCTACATGAACCACATCGTTCACGATCGTATGGTCCACGTGGACTATAGTCAAAAAAGTATGGAAGAGATGATTTTTAAGTGGACTTCTATGTGTATCTATAATATACCTGTTTTTACTTAAAATAAATAATCATCTTTAAGAAGAAAAATGCGCCTCTCGGTTTTCATCCCGATTCATATTACTTTTACTCGTTTCCTCTCACACTTTTATATTATCTCTCTCTCTCTCTCTCTCTCTCTCTCTGCTGCTTGTCTCTCTCTCATGTATGTATACACACGCAGACATCTTTCTTTTTTTTCTTTTTTTTTCTAAACTCCATTTTTCACGAGCAACCAATTTTCAGGATATGCCCACTCCTGATATGTCCGCGACTATTTTAAAAATAATCCATTCGCAGTCCTTGCTTCTACATTTCTTCAGGTACCGATTGACGCGTCGAAATTGAACGCATCGTTCTATAAAAATCGATTCGATACAAAAATAACAGGTACGTATTTTTTTTGTTTCGACAAATGGGAAGACGTAAAATGTTGAAAAAAAATTTGCATGTCGATCGATACATGCGCTATTCTTCTTAATGAAAATTTTTTATCTAGCATTTTGAAAGATAAATAAAAAATCGAAATTTGTATCATTTTCTTTATTAAATCTTTATTAAAAAAAATAAATTTAAAAAAGTATATTTTTTAAATTATTATTAATGAATATTCTAGTCATGAAGAAATTTTTGATAATTTTTTATTATGACGAAGATATTCGTCATGTGAAAAAAAAACTATAAGTTTTTATAAACTTAAAAATATTATCAAAATTATTCTTATCAAAATTTGAGCTATAAAATTGTTAGTTTCTTCACGAAACGAAACCATCACATTTCATTGTAATTACAGAAGATACAAATTTCTAAAATAAAATTATATAATAGATTAAAAATTGAAATTAAATATTTCAAAATATCTTATATATTATAATATAACATCTATATTATACATAATATAAATATTATATTATTATAATTGAAAAACAAAAAAATAATTATAATTATATAAATAGATAAAATATTTTAATTAAAGAGAACGGCTCATGAAAATGAAAAGCATCATCATGAAATATAACGTATATTTACGTTATTTTCGTATCGACTCGACAGAGAAACGGAAAAAAAAAAATCATCTTGGCTTTGACAGTGCACTCCGTTAGGCAAAGAAGAAGGGACTGCGAACTTATCGAGAACTTACTACTTACATACATATTTAACAAACACGCAGTCTTATCAAATAGAACCCGTGAACGAACTCTGACAAGTAAAAAGATATAGTTGCCTATTATTATTATCCTAATAGAAATTTGGTTCGACTCGTCCCGCAATTAGGGCGACGAAACGATTTTCTTCGCGGTTGATTTTCTACGCGAAATAGCTATCCAAATAAATCCTCAACGTTCTTCGATACTTATACACAGTATTCTCTTAAAAAAAAAAAAAGAAAAAAAAATAAATAAATAAATTTCAATAGAATCGAAGATAATTTATGACGACTAAAAAAATTGAAAAAAGAATTCAAAATAGAATATATAGAAAACATATTTGATACTTATTGAAAGGATATTATTTTATAAGGATACCGTATCTGCGTAAAAGAGAATATTGCTTTCTTTAATTAAAATATTCTATTTAATATTTCAAATTGTAATATATGCAAAAAAATTAAACTTTTTGTTATTTTCTTTGTGATATGTTAACATTAGGAAAAATAAATTAAATCTGTTTTTAGATATTTAATAAAATTTCTAACCTCATAAAACTTCCTAACCTTAACTCTTAATGTGTTTCTTTAAAATTGAATTGAATAGCTATTGACTTAAATTTCAATATTACAATTTTAATATTGAAGAAAATTTTTTATATAGATAGAAAGGCAGCATAGAATTTCAATATATTTAAAGTAAATGAATTTTCAGAAATTTAAAATAGAAAATTTTAACCAAGAAAGGCAAAATATTCCTTGCATGCCACCTTGAATTCATTTCTCTGCCTTGCTAAGCTCTGAATCTACAAATTTCAATTACACAATTAAATATTTCAGAGTTATAAATTCGAGGAGGCGGACAAGAGATATGCACGCATGATTTCTTACACTAACTAAATATTCAACCATTCTTATTCATTTATTCACTCATTCAATTGTCTTTCCCGACAAATAATCAATGAAACAATATTTCCAATAGTTCGCTCGTTCGTTTCGCGTTTTATTAATAATTGTAATTACAGTCAGTCACAAAAAACTTTATACGAAAGAAAATTCATTATTAAATTCAACTTAATTTTAATAAAAAAAAAAATGTAAAAATTTTTATCTTTCTCACATTTCCATTATTTTTTCATTCTTTGAATACAATTTTACTTTCCTTTGAAATACTTATGACAAGGAATGAATATTTCATATATTTAATTTTGTTTTCTCTCAATAATAATTAAATTCAAAAAGTAAAAAAAAAAAACTAAAAAATTAAGAATTGATTTTCTTCAATGTTTTGTATATAAATAACAAAGTTTCAATAAAATAAAATTATCATTATTTTTAACAACACTTATTAACTAAATTTCATTTGAGATGAAATTTGTTATCGTTATACATTTGAAATTAATTTAAGATTAAATTAAGATTTTTGTGGCTAACTGTATATAAATTTTTCAAACAGAAGTTATGAAGTATTCACTTTTGTTCTATTATTCAACGCTTTATCCACTTTTTTTTTTGGAACACTTAAGTTATTAACGCTACGACATACAAAAGATAAGGCCGCCACGATAATACACTGACTAGATCAGTTTCATTTGCTCTCTTTTTCTTTCTCTCTATCGCGCTCGCTCTCTCTTCTTTTGCACACTCTCTCTCTCTCTCTCTCTCTCTCTCTCTCTCTCTCTTCGTGTGTATATATGTGTGGTGTGTGGTGTACGCGCGCATCGCGCATGTGTGTAGACCACCGTTCCAATTCTTTTTTTTCTTTTTTTTCTTTATCAACAAAAATATTCAGGACACGGTGTATTTCTTTCAACAAAATATACTATGTGTCTTGTATTGTATCCTTAATAAATCTATGACACGCAACTATTAGCTGCGCGTTGGGGAAGAATCTTTCGCTCGATCGAAAGTGTTAATTAATTAAAAACTTGTATAAGCACAGTATAGGCCCTGATGAATTCTTTCTAACTTACTAACTTACGCGATATTATACAAAGAAAAGACGGCACAAGAATAATACACAAAACATAAAACATAAATTGCATAAATCATCAACCATTTTATTTTTATAAAATGGCTATAAAAAGTATTTGCACATTTTATTATATATATTTCATTTAAGTATAGAATTTTTAATTGCAAAAGTTTCTTATCATTTAATAATATCTTTATATGATTATATTTTACAAAAATTTAATATTATGAAGGTGAAATATGAAACCTGATAAAAAGACTTAATTAGAAAATAAATGTACGTACTTTTTATAGCCATTATATAAAACAATGTTACGTAGGAATGGATACACAAAATTTCAAAATTTTTTAAAAATCAAAAAGTTTAAACTTCATATTTGTTTTAATTGATACAATTTCATCAATCTATTACAATAACTTATAAACAAAAAAAAAAAAAAGAAAGAAATTAAAAAATAAAAATAATTTTTTACAAGTTCAAAAAATTTCAGAAATCAAGATTCAGAAATTAAAATTTTAATTTCTAAAAAAAAAAAAAAAAAAAATATTTTGAATTTTAAAAGATTCAAATTCAATCTTCACGAATTTAAAAATTAAGTTTCAACTCGTCTCTAATTTAAAAATTTTTTTAAATTAAACGTTTCTTTTTCCTTTTTACTTTAAAAAAAAATTTTTAAAATGTACCGCCTTTCATTGCATATCGCCATAGTTCTCCATGTTTACCTCAACATCCTTGTTCTTAATGCAAGAGTAACGCGGCTGAACAATGTCAACTTCGAATATCGGCGTCTTCGAAAAGTAACGCGGTACAAACCAAGTAAGAGGAGACTGTTAGGAATCGATTACAATGTAAAATTTCTTTACAATGTAAAATTAAAAAAAAATTTTTTTTTTTCGAGCATAGATATAAATACAACGGGAAATTCATATTTCAATTTTCTACGATCGCCATTTAATAATCGATAAAAAGTCGGTTGACGTGGATAAGGACGGAGGTGGCTAACTAGGAACTGCGAGGCACTGCAAAAAGGTAAGAACATGAGCAGCGATTTCTATTGGCAATCGAATGCCGCAGTCTCAAAAATGAAACGTGTATTGCTTTCTTCTCGATCGCTCTAAAACTTTTTTCATTTCACCTCTTCTTTTTCTTTTCTAAATAGTAACGTCCTATAAGGAAAAATATGATAGTTTTAAAATTCTTAAGTATTTTGAATTACAAAACGCAAGAAACGTTCCATTTTCGTGCAAAGAACTATTGACGTCTAAAAGTGAAAGAATCATTTTTTAAAATTGATCTGTTATCGGATCGAGTATAAAGATATTTTTTAAAAGTGCACTAGCGAGAAAAACGCTCGAACGATGGTCGCACGCGAAAAGAGGAACTCGCGCCGACAGCTTCAAACAATAGTCGTGTAAGGACATCAATAATGTATGTAGATTATCAAAAAAGATCACAGTCGGGTTACTAGATTTTTTAGAGAAGCGTCCGCTGAACTTCAATAATTGACTGTATTTCCATTGGATTTGAAAAACCGGATAACTCGAATTTAAGTAGTTAATACTGACCCTGTTCAAATCCCTTTAAACCATTTCAAAGTCCAATGAAAATATAATCGTTCATTCGATTCCCCTAATTTTTCTTTCGCATGCGACCCGACCTTACTTAAGCGTTAGACCTTACTTCCTCCTCTGATCGTTACTTTTCTCCAATATTTTCGTCGCATCGATATGAGCCGCCACTCTTCAACAATTTCACAATCGTCGAAGCGTTTCTTCTTTATAGACACCTGTGTTTCCGCACGTGATTCCACAGATATCGGCAGAGAGAACCAAGAAACCCTAAGGAACGAATTCTACGACGTGCAAGTGACGTGTATCACTTTTTGTCAAACAAGGATAGTTTGCTGCGCACAGCACCCTCGCAAACGACCAATCTCTGCGCAGCTGAGATGTTGCACAGTGGTACAGAACCCTCCAAGCTGGCCTTAAGCAAGGTTAATCTGCTGGAGCCGGCATCGTAATCGGTTAAACGCAAGCTACCAGCTTGTTTTTTCTCAAAATATTCGACTATCTTGGAGATTGTTTTACTGGAAGACCCTATGCCGCTTAATCTGTCCTCCCAACAGGAATCACCACCACCTAGGCTGGCTATGTCCTCGGAGGAGTCGGTGTAAATGGAACTGGTTCGATGATCATCTAATAAGAAAAGACTGCTCGCAGCAGAACTGCTTAGAGTGGAGGTATGACGACGATTTGGTGGCTCTGGACTGAGATCTTCACCTACGCAGCTCCAGAAACCTGATTCGCAGCTGCCGCGCCTTCTTGGCTCCCATCCGTCTCGGAAAAGCGGATGCATGAACAAGCTGGCTGCGCCTACCTTCGTGGCCACCTGAAAAATTGTTTTAAATGTAATTGGACGTATTAAAATGTTTTTTTATATTTATTTTTAATTTTTAATTTACTAATTAATTAAAACTAGACACATCTAATTATTAATTTGTAAATTAAGATTTTATTATTTTAATTAAAATAAAGATCATTGTAAATCTTAAGTTGTAAAGAAAAGGAAAATGAGAGAAGAAGTTTTTCAAATCTTCAAAAGAATGCATTATTTGTTTCTTATTAATCTTATATTTTCAAAGTTACTCATGAAGGTTTGAAATTTTTGAATTGTCTTCATGATTAACTAACCTTTTTTTTCATCAAACAACTGCAATCATGTGGACCCAAAAACTGAGAATATGGTAGCTTTCTTATTGGCTTAAGTTTTTAGTCTGAAAAGATCGCAGTTGACCAACTCCTTACAATTTATGTTCTAGGACTTAGAATTGAAATTAGGATCAAAAATCAATATCAGGACTTTAAACTTAGGACTTAAGATCTTTTTCAGATCTATTGCAAACTGGTTAATTAAGATTTAAGATTTAGAACTTAAGATTTCTTTTTAACTCATTGTGACTAAATAATAGCTAAAAATAAAAAAGATAGTAATAATAAGTCTATAATAATGAATGATCTAAATTAGTCATAAAAACAAATTTTTTATGATCTAAACTTGGATTTAAAAACTATAAATAGTATTATTTCAAATATATAAAATATAGTATATTTTAAATCTTTTTAAAATTTATTGCAAATTAATTATTAGAACTTAAGACTTAAAATTTAGAATTTGTTTTTGATTAATTGTGATCAAAAAGTAAGCTAATTTAGAAGATCCTAAATCTTAAATTCTAACCTCTTTAACCGTCTTAATATCTTAGATCATAAATAAATTGGCCAAATACCATTTTTTCAGAATAATTGATTGCAGTTATTGTTTGATTTATGTCCTTTTGCAGATTTTAAAAATTGCTTCTTCCATCATTGAATTTTGCTATTGCTCCAATTCTTCACACAAATCCATTTTTCTTTAAGACAAATTATGACTTACTATAGAATATATTATATATACTGGCTTTTAATATTTAAATCACAATTAAACGTAAAAAAAAAAAAAAAGGATCCTGAAATAAGAAACAGAATTAAATGGAATATATCGATACCTTTCTTTCCCATTTTTTCCTGGCAGTAGGACTGCTAGGTTCCGAATTAGGTTTCTTTCTGTCCAAGATCTTCGCGATACTGTCGTTCTGCGCAGGTTTGAATTTGGCGATAACATCGGTGACACTTGGTCTAACATCCTCCAGAGATGGAAGTTCCAGACAACTAGAGAACAAGTCACCAAGGATTTTCTTCACACCGCCCAGCGCATGGAACGGATTCGCCGTCATAGGTCTGTAATGTGGATCCCTTCTGCTTGCCAATTCCGCTACTCTCCTTGCAGAATGACATCTCGCTTTGTCGGAAGGTGTCGCATTATCGCAACCTCTTGCATCAGCTGATTGGCTCCGAAGACGAGCAGTTTTACGTTTAGTGGAACGCCCTTCTCTTGTAATCTCGTCCATGCTGGACATGAGATTAGGATCCACGGATTGACGCTTGCCTATGTTGTTTTTAGATTCTTCATAATTGGTGATCATAGTCTCTAGGCTGGAGGTAATTTCTGGGAAGGTCGGTCTTGATTTTGGTTCATACTGAAAACAATGTATTGTGCCCAAGAATACACTTTGTATACATGTCGAGATGAGAAATTGATATTATAAAGTATTTTGTAATCCGTGTGAAATAATATTGTCGAATATACGAACTAACATATTTCAGTTATGTACAAGAAATGAATAGAATGTCATCATTCAAGAAATTTTGATTATCCGAATATTTAAGAATTTAAGAGTAGAATTAAATTTATAAAAATGAATTTTATTTTATTTAATATCCAATTGAATTCCTATTATCTAAATTAACTATTATTATTATAGTTATTTAAATATTATTATAATGTAATAAAATTGGAAATATATTTTATTACAATAAATATATTTAGTAAAAAATTAATTAATTAATTAAATATTAACCAATTATTTTTCAAAATTATTTCTATATTAATATGTTATTATGTATTTTAGAAAAAAATGAATGAAATATCATATGATAAATTCTTATTACAAAATATTAATATATTCATGGAATTCTTTTATGTATATAGATAATTATAGACAGAGATAAAAAAAGAACATAAAAATTTATATGTAAAAATATTGGCTTATTTATTAAATTAAGAATTATTTAAATTTATACCAAAGTGAATATTTAATTCATTTAATTTTAACATAATACATTTTGTGTCAAGCCAGTATTATGTGATTTGATCTGCAGATCGCGTGAGCGTTTGTTCATTACATTTGTTAAATTAATTAATTAAATAAAATGTGTGATATGTATGATATAAAATACAATAAACATTGGAACAGCCATTATAATGCATATTGCAATTTCCGCAATATTTTTGAATCTCTAAATATTAAATATTGAAAGATATATTATTACATTAATATATATTTTTTTTAAATTATACATTTATTCAACAAAAATAAAAATAATTGTTATAATAAAAAATTAGTTGAATAAAATTTTTAGAAAAAAATTGAATAAGAAGACAAAGATTATAATAATCGATATTTCAGATCGAAAGTGATTGCAGCGCCACATGGGTCATCGATAATCGATAATGCTAACGTTATAATATAATTTTATATTGATAGATGATATCAGAAAGTATTTCACAATTTTGATTTTAATTATAAACAAAATATCGAATATCTAAAAATCGATGATTCACATGATAAAAAAATATAATAAATAACTTCAATTGTTTATGACTTAATAAATATATTTCTTGAATAGTAATTTAATTTATCATGTACAATTTTTTATTGATTATATCAACTTGCGTAACTTTCAATGTAATTTATTATATATATATATAACTAAAATTAATTTTTCAAAGATATCCTATGAATATAAAGTAATATTTTATATAAATAAATACGTATTGTATAAACGATTTAAATATTATTATGAAAATTAATTATTTAAATTATTTAAATCATTATATAACGATTTAATTATTATTATTAAAATTAATTATTTAAATGAAGTTCTCAATATTATATATATATAAATTTCGACAAAAATTGAATAAACATTCCATTTTACTCACAGTGCAACAATTGAAGGCAAGCTGCAGGAAGGCTGGCGGCGGATCAGCTGCTGCACAGATTTCTGCCACGGCTAGGTAATCGAGGCCAAAATTATCCGACCGTGGTAGAACATCCGGATCGGCAGGCACACGGCCGATAAGCTCACAAACTACTATGCCGAACGAGAAAACATCTGATCTATGATCGTACCATTGACCCTTCAAACATTCAGGCGACATCCAATACGGACTGCCTACTGTGCTCAATCTGTATCCAGAGCTTGGATCTGGAATTTTTGCAGCCAATCCGAAATCTCCAACCACGGCGGTCATTTCAAAAGTGTTCTCATCCTTCTTGATCAAAACGTTCTTAGACGTGAGATCTCGATGGAAGAGTCCACGACTGTGAAGATAGGTCATGCCACGTGCTACGTCCTTTGCTAGATTCATTCTGATTAGATGGGGTAAAGATGTGTGCCTAGACATGATCAATTGCTCTAAGCTGCCACCGTTTATATATTCTGTCAGAGCATGCAATTGTCCCTCGTGAACGCAAACCCCCATAAACCTGAAACAGATGAAATGAATTTATTATTGTTTGTTATTTAACTGGCATCAATTGTCATAGTCATTAAATTTATAATTCTATATTTAAAATCTATAATTATTAATTAAAATATGTTATCTACATTTTTTTTTGTTTTTTAATATATGAATCATTCAAAAATTAAATTAATTTATTTTTTTTTAAATTATTAAATAATTAAAATTAAAATGTATAGTCAATGTTTAATTTTTCAGAAACTAAATGATATATATATATCATATATCTTTAACTTTTGAAAAATCTTAAGAATTTTGTAAAAATTTAGAATCAGATTTAATTTATTTTTCCTTCAAAGAAATCAATAAAATTTCAATTTTTAGATATACTGAAAGGATATTGAAGAAAATAATACAATATAGCTTAAATAAGAAATTTCAAATTTATATCTTATTCAATTATTAATTATCTTAATTTTAATTATTACTATTCTATCACTATTGTATATTGAATACATTTTGAAGTATTTTATTGCCATTTTTTAAAATCTTTAAGCTGTTTTATTGATATATTCAGAGATTAATAAGTTTTAAGTAATTCTTTTTTTAATTATTTTTTTATATTTATTTTTATTTAATATTAACTTGAGATTAATTTATTTTTAAATAAATCATTTTTTGGAGAGACTTATGTATTTATAAAAATTATTAAATACCATACAATATAAATATATATATTCTTAATATAATTGTATATGAATCTATTCTTGCTAATAAGCTCCTAATCATTACAATAAGTGAATCATATATCACAAAGCCATCAATCAAATCGACATGACAAAAATGAGTCTTAAAAAAAAAATTAAGATCTCGTTTTTCAGTCACAGGATTTTATTCAATTCACTCTCTAGGACAAGCACTGCGAAAATTTTTCTCAGTACATAATAATTAGCAACATTGTTGCTATTATTGTAATCATCCTATGAGATTGGTTAGTAGTTGCGAGACTCTTTTTCTCTATCCCATTTTCTTCTCTATCCTCGAGTTCTCATTACCGAAATAGCACGTAATCGAGGAAAGAGCTCGACTCCCTTGAAAGAAATCCACTTTGAAATCCTCTACATTTCAAGAAATTATTTTCTTCCATTCCAACCGCAACTCGAATCTTTCTACACATTCTAGCTAGCAATAAATATTTTATTGTAATTTTGGTTTTCAAATTATTCTCTCCTTTTTTCTATTTTTTTTTTTTTTTATACTGATATATGTATCTGAAGAATTATTAAGTTAATCAGAACTAAAATATACAAAAATATAGAACAGAACAAAACAATATACAAAAATTTTTTACAAAATTAATACTAGTTTTTATTGATATAGAAATACAATTGCATATGTTCAATTATTTTCATGATGAATTAACTTTTGTCATTTGTAACATCTGTGCAATGCACATACTAAGTAGATAATGCATAAGTAGTTTCAATATTAGTTTATATTCTCTTTTTTTTCTATTATTATTGATATACTTATATTTGCTTATACTTATACTTATATATACTTATATATACTTATACTTATATATACTTATATTTTTTTATATTCACTTTAATTACTTGTATCATTCTTTAAAATATTTCTGTTTTCTTTGGTAATACTCACAATTATAACTATAATTATAAACTATAATTTCAGAATTTAATTTGTTAGATCTCTATGATTAAGTTTACATTATAAACCTAAATATTATAGATTCTAAATAAACACAATATAAGATAGATAAGTAATATAAGTAAGAGTACCAAGAAATTGCAAATCTGTGATTGACAATAAATAAATAAGATATTTGAGTTGAATTTTTCAAGCATTGTGTACGATATTTACCATATTTCTCCCTCTCTCTTTTTTTTTAATTTTAAATGAAAAGGCCAAAGAACCAAAAATGGAGAAGGCGAGGTGAATATTTTTTCCAACGTTCAACGAGGTTTAATTACGAACCACATCGTGATTCTCTTTATCAATCCGCGCACGAAGCGCGAAGTCGTTTCGCTCGTTACTCATCTTTCCCTATAAAGATAGGCGACCTTCGTGTCGAGGATAACTCAGGACGAAGGTCTACGATCCAGATGTGCATGAACGATGAAAGGATGGCGAATACGAGGTGACGAATAAGTATTGTCAATTTTTATTCTAACTTGAAACTTGAATGACAGAAAACGAATGAAAATATTGTTTTAGATTTAACTTTGAGTGATATAGTGGATTATACAAGGTGAACAATTATGATGGCACGTAAATAATACTTGTTTCTGTGCTCTCTGAAAATTCAAAAACTATGGGATTTTTAAAGGCAAGGTGTTGAGTAATCAAAATAAACGCAAGAGTTAATACATGAAATATGATTTAAAATTCATTTTTTAAATTATAAACAATTTATTATTCTATTTTGAAGTATTATTATTGTATATATTTTTTTTATTTATTTTGAAACTGGTCCTCCAGAGATGATAAATATATCAACACTCTCTCTATATAACTTTTTCCTACTCAATTTATTTCTTCTCCTTTTAAAAACAAATACAACAAAGAAAATTTATCACAAATTTGTATCAATCAATGATAAACAGACTATAAAAAAAAAAAATAATTCATATATGAAAAATATATAAAATTATAAATTTAATTCAAAATTTTCTTCTAGATATTTCATTGTACTAACTTTTCTCTACAGTTCGTTTAACAAACTAGAAATACTTACACCCTTGTTAAACTCATTAACGTCGCCTATCTAACGCCATACCTCGACGCCAGTTTGTTTGACTCGTCTGCCAATACAATTTGTTAAAATGGAACCGGAGAGGAGCAAAATCAATAATAAATCTCTTCCCCCCTCCCTCTTCCCTTTCAAAAACGATCATATCGATACAATCAACATTAAAACAAATCGTCCACTCGCAAATACGCGACAACATCATTTACGATATATAATAGAATTAATAATTATCTATAGAAAATATTTTTCACTGTGAATAATAACAGTGACGTCAAATCAAAACTTCCAAACTCTTGAGCCGATATACGTTACACGTTGAACATCTTCAATACACGTGTTTTAATAACAATACGAATAAATCGCATATTTCCATTACAATCCGCACCAATATCGTCGCAAAGTGGCCTTTTCACGTGCACGAGAGGGCACGTAAGACGATTATGGAGCGCTCGTATCGATTCGCTACAGCGCACTCTATTAACACCCAACAAGCTTCCACAGCGTCGCTGGTTGAACGTTTAAGAGCCTGGCGGCCACGATTCGGGCCACGGAACCGGAAAATTCGAATGGGCCGAAAGATTTTCGTGACCTGCCTCCAATTAGCCTCAATCGAGCACCTGCATTTCTCATTCGAGAGAGAATTTTCTCATTCGAGGATTTTCTTGTCGATTTGTGCCCGATTGAATATTCAAACGGCAATTTTCTTTCTTTCTTTTTCTTTTCTTTTTTTTTTTTTTTTTTTAATGCCAGTGAAAACGTGTTATTACCTGATCTGGAATTCTGCTTGGCTCTCTGCTCGGTTTAATCGGAGCGAAATATGATTGATCACACGTTGCATTTATGCATGACTCTCGGTCCACAAGTGTGACACTTTTTGTTTTTCAATTCGTTCGATATAAATTATTGTTGAATTAATTGAACGGTGAATCGAAGATGTAATTATATTCAATATAATTTTAACAACTACTTAAGTAAATCATGATCATAAATTTAAACGATTTATCCTTTATGCTAAAAATAATAAGATAAATAAAATAAGTTAGAAATCATTTTATTGGTATTATTTGAGCAATTAAATTTCATTAGAAGTAATTTAAAATGCTATATTTGATTTAAAAGATCAACTCTTTAATTTCAGACATCTAATGAAATTTTAAAAAAATAATTAAAAATAAATTTATTTTAGTTTGACAAACTAATGTTATATGAAATTAACTAATTTTTTTATTGTTTATTATTAATTCATTCTAGAAAATATTTGAATAAAGTTGAACAGATAAACATTCGTACGAAATATATTCGAAGAATATAATAAACATTTTATCAAAATTTTATTAACGAGTGATCTCGTAACATTAATTGTGATAATTAAAGAGTTGTCTATATACTTTTGATAAGCTGTGCTACATAAATGTGTCATCGTGAATAATCGCTTCGAGGATCAGATTTCGAAGGAAAGAGAGGATAGAATCTACGTTGGAAAGGAAAACACGCTTATCACGTTCGACTCGACTGATTCTTGCCAGAGATTAGATAACTCTGTCGAGGTGATTTCGAGTTTAAGTCAGAAAGATCGGTCGAATCGATTCATTACATTGAAATATTAATGCGTGTTAAATAAAACGTCAATTAGGAATTCGATTCATCCATCATCTTCGTTTATATATATATAGTTATGTTAGGTGATTGACACAATGTTATCTTTTTAGAACTAAGATAATAATTGTGAGTAATTAAAATATTCGAAATATTCTGTGTTCTCAAGTATCTGAATTTTCAAGATTCATTGAAATTCTCTAGTTTCTTAATTATTTAATTCTCGAGCTAGTTTATTTCTAGAATAATTAATATATAGAATATATATAGGTAGAATAATTAATTAAAAATATAAATCTGAATTTTCAGCCGAGTTGTATGTAATTCTGAGATATCGATATCTGATATCTGAAATTAGGAAACGTGTTTAAACTTTAGAATTATCGATGCCTGTAATTTATACGAATCGTATCACGTATTATTTGCGAAGCAACAACGAGAAATTTATGATTCTTATCGAAAATATGTACAAAATATATCTCGATGAAGATAGCAGTGGATTTCTAACCAGGCTCGATTAAATCGCGATGAAAATAAATTACAAAGTAGAAATTGGCAGAACGTTGTGCTTCATGCATAAGAACTTGTTCTTGACGAAAAAAAATTCGACTCGTTTCATGCAAGTCTATATTCTATAGCGAACAGTAAACGAGGTGCGATAGACACGTGTAACCGTCGATTAAATTTCACTACACGAATGAATTAATTAAACGCGTCTAACGAGTCGACGTAATTAACAATAACGTGAATTTCATATATTTTCGTTTTCAACTTCGAATTTCGCGCCGTTATATATCATTGAAAAAAAAAAAAAGTTCGCTCGATATCGTCGCGACCTACGTTATTAACCAAAAAATTTCTCAATCGATTCTATCTTCCCTTTACGCGTTGAATCCTATTTTTCCAATTTTATAATTCCAATTCTAATTAAAAAACTATATTTCGATCATTCAATTCGAGACAAATTCCGAAAAAAAAAATTCACCGTTATATTTTCAATCATCTAACCTATTTACTCTGAAATTAACCCAACTATTTTTCAAATATTATATTTGAATTTCGTAATGCATCAACGATTCTAAACTCTCGATCATAGTGTATATCAAGTTTATCGCTACAGCCAAACAATCGAATCAGCGGCCGATGAATTACCAGTCAATTTATTTTTATCGCGATATCCTCGATAGGAGTATCGCGACTATCGACACGATTCGATTCGCACGCACGCCCGCAAATCGCGTTGCGAGTCGATAATTTTGTGCCGGAGCGGAGAGACCAGTGTGATTTTTCATTGGCTCGACTCCTCGCACTGTTATCGATTATGTTCGAGAAAAACACTGGTACCCGCGTTCTTCGGCGAAACTACTAGAGATAAACGTTGATACGTTCTAAACGTTCCGATAAGATAGGCGAAATTCTTATAACTGCGAACGATAAATATTATCGTCGCGTTCTTTCGTGATATTTCTCGATATCGATTATATACAAATCTTATAACATTATAAACAATAATTTGAAACGAAATATTTCTTAAGGTTTTCTTATTGTAATACAAATTTAATGTGATAAATTATACTGTAATAATAACATTATATATATTTTTTATTTTTAAATATTTAAATATTGTTCGTCTTTTATAAGAATATTTCTATGATAAATTATTATGTTATTATAATTACTATATTTTTATTAAATTAATATGATAAATTATACTTTTTAAATTTTTATTGATCTCGAATTAATCGAAGGTTGCTATATCTCGATGAGAATGGAAAGAATTTTTAAAAAATTTTTCACGATTTAGAATCGAAAGAATGCAAAGTATGAGTATTATTTTTTTTTGACCTTGAATTAATCAAAGGTTGCTACACCTTTATTTGCAAAATATATTTATCAGCAAATGACTATGGCTTTACAAGTTGAACTTGTAACAATAATAAAAAGAAAAGAAAGAAATGAGAAATACTGTACTAATCTCTGTAATCACGAGCCACGATAACAATCATTCTTCGTGATTTCGACAGAGGTTTAAGTTAACTTTCAATCACGTGAATATCAACGTGAAAAATAAATACATAATAAATAAATAGATTTAGGAGATTATTTTATAAGACTTTAGTGGATTTTATTAAAATGTTCGAAATATTGAATCGGCTCGGGCAAATTGCAATGATTATTCACGAGCACGCTCCAAGTAATTGGCGCCAAATATTTAAAATATCGATTAATTTCATAGTAGATGAATATCATAATAAATCTCAACCTTGCTCTAAAATCTAATAATGGAGTCAAATATATGCATCATAAACGAATTTTTCAAATAGATATATCGAATCCTCTACTTTTGTAAATAGCGTCAAATATTAATTTAGATCAAGTCGCGAATGAATATTTCGAAGAAGAAATAATTAAATAAATTTTATTAGGTTAGGTTAGGTTAAACGTAAATAGCGTCAAACATTGATGTTATTTAATCAAGTCATCGCGAATGAATATTTCGAAGAAGAAATAATTAAATAAATTTTACTAGGTTAGGTTAGCTTAAATTAGATCATGGTAAATAGATTCAAATTCTTCATAAATATTTCAAAAAGAAAAAAGTATTTTCAAGTAACTTCAAACATTGATCGAAACTTTGCCAGTATCTTATTAAAAATTCTTTGAAATCTCATTCAATTCTAGAATCTCTATGCAATTATTAAAAATGTACAACAGTCTAATTATTTTAATATTGAAATCAATTTTTCGCATACTATAATTCTCATATATCTAATTATAAGTACACTCGACTTTACATCCTTCTAAAATATATTTTTAAAACCAAAAAGTTTATATATTATTTCCAAAAAATTATTTCCAAACCGAGAATAAAATTATAATCAGCAAGGACCAAACACAATCAAAAAAACGTTCCACTCGATCCCACCAAAACCATCCAACCACATATCAATTTATATTTCACATTATTGGCTTATTAAAAATGTATCGTTCCAAACAAAATCGACGAAATTTAATCGAAGTTCCCTATCTTCCATATTCCATTTCTCTCTTCCTTCAAGCCTCCCCCCTCCTTTCTCCCTCTCTCTCTCTTTCCTCTTTCTCAAAGCTTCTCCTTCTGGTCTGGACATAGAGTCTTCACGGATATTTCGCGGTTTCCGCAGCCTTCGACGGAGAGAAATGCCAGAAATAAGATCCTCTCGCGGGATAAACACACACAAGCGGATCTGGGCCAAGCCGTTTATATCGTTGGAATGCGTTGTCGCCGCGGATGAGCCGTGTCTAGTCAGGCTGCGGAGCGGTTACAGGCCGCCATTATGTCATAACTAACGTAAACCGCGAAACTCTTTTTGGACGTTGCACGATTGGTGTGCAACCGAGAATCGACGTGATTTGCAGACGTGCTTTTGCACTTTACCTTGGTGGAAATTGCCCTCTCTGAATATAATATGTTGAAGATATATATTGCGGATCCCCGCAACAAAATGATAATACCTACCGTCGGTATAGCTCTCGACGCTTCGAAATTAAAATTATATTCGAGGAAAGGTTATTACGTTGCAATTGTTCGTACGAGAAAAGATTAACCGTAGTTTTAACAGCGTTTCTGAGATATTCATGTGAAATCATTACGATACATGATGAAAGATATACACGATGTGTAAGAGGAAAATTATTTATATAATTTGATTTATAATTGTATGATATTTTTTCTTTTTTATTACGAAGAATAGAACTTGTTGGAGGATCAATTCGAGAGAGTGAAACAAACAGAAGAATAGTACGAGTATACTAAAATAAAATATCGATCGAGGCTTATTTATTATGTGACAAGTATTTGAAGTTAATGCAAGGTGTTATACAAGAGATATATATCCTGTCGTATGAATAATTGTTGTATAAAGAAAATGCGTTCGATTTGAAAAGAAAAAAAAAGGAAAAAATAATATTTTGTTAAAATCGTTTGGATTTATAAATTATCAATATGCAAATGTAAAATTAAAACGTGTTGAATATATATAACACCTTAAATATTTATACAAAATGTATACAAAAATATTATCCTTATAAAACGAATTTAAACGAAATAAACAATGACGATACGAGATGTTTGAAATTATTTATTTAAAAAAAAAAAAATACCTCCGATATCCAACTATGTACAGGCTACTGAAACAAGCACGATACGAAAGAATATTTTTCAATCCATTCATATTCTCGATATCTATTCGACAAACGAATTCGAGTCGACGAATTAAAATCGAAGGAAAAAGAAAAAAAAAAAATTGACGGCTTGATTGGTTCGAGAGGCAACAAAATATTGCGTTGACTCTTGAAATTTTTTTCTTTTTTTTTTATTCCAATCTAGAGCTAGTTTCTATTTCTATCCTGCGACAACTCATGTGGTCCAGTTTTAATTTAAAGCTCCAGCAAAGAAAGCGAACGACACGCGTCACTTCCCCCGTGTTTTCTCTCTCTCTCTCTCTCTCTCTCTCTCTCTCTCTCTCTCTCTCTCTCTCTCTCTCTCTCTCTCTCTCTCTTTCTCTGTCTCTCTCTCTCTCTCTCTCTATCTATCTATCTATCTAGAGAATGTTTAAATAAAATAACAGAATATATATTTCGTGCACATATATATATATATGTGTTTGTATTGGAGGAATGAAAGTATCGAGATTGCATCTGAATCGAAGAAATAATAAATGGTCAAATTATTGATGAACGTCGATTGAGGAGTGTATCGTTATGGAGAGAAGAGAAGAAAGCGAAGTGGATTGCGATGTAGGTGATAATGAAATTATTCGAAATGTGTGTGATTTTTATTAAAGAAAAATATGTTAAATTTTTATAATTTTATTCTTCTATCTTAATTTAATATTATAAGTATTTTTTTTTCGAGATTATATCGTTACAAGATATTTAAATAAATAATTATAATCAATATTTACCTGATTTTCTTATTAGAGATTATCTGTTATGCATATGTGTGCAATTGTTGTTGAAACATTGTCATTATTGTTCGATTTTATATTGGAATTATTAAATATTAAAAAAAGAACATGAAATCGTGAAACTCTTTCTTTAATATAACTTTTTTATCGATTGAATAATGTTCGGTGAAAGAGAAAGAAGAATTAAAAATTTACAAAGATATTTAGTTACATTTCAACATTTACATAAATTCAAATTTTTAATATCAATAACAAAAAAATAATATTAATGAATAATTTTAATCCAAATATGGAATAGACAAACAACTGCGTGAAAATTTTTCAATCACTCAACTTTTGATTTTAACAAATTCTCTCAATAATAAAATTATAATAATAATGAACAGGAAATGAACACCAAATAATCCAATTAAATAAATAAAAATCTCTTCTCCCATGAGTATCGACAATATCATTTTAAAATTTCAAATGAAAACACGTCCTAATATTCAAATATAATCATTACAACAACGCGTATACCTATAATTTCTACTTCCAGTTTCTTCTTCTTTCGAGAAACGACAGAGAAAATTCGGCACGTGTACAAGAGAGATATAATTTGCTCGTCAGTCGAGTTTCTCTCTGTGCAAAAGTGGACCGGATTCGGACTCACCTGAGTATGTTTGGATGGCTGAGCTTGTTCATCAGCTGGACCTCTTTCAACATGTTCGGTCTGTTCGCGGGCAGCTGGTTCATCTTCAGGACCATCACCTGACTCGTCACTTTGTGAGTAACCTGGAAAATACGGATGCACAGATGTTCACTATAATTTCATCCATTTTACACGCCGTTTTGCCGCGAACCCTTGACCGTTTAAGCGTTTTCTGATTACGTTTAACGGTTACTCGAGGACCGATCTATTAGATTTGGATCTTGGATTCGATGTTATTGAAAAATAATTGGCAAATATTTAAAAAAAAAAAAAAAAGAGTCATCATAACATGTAATATTAACCAAGATTTTACACGATCATCGTTTAATTATTAAATAAAATACAACAAAAATAAAAGTTAGGTTAGGTTAGGTTAATTGGTAAATACTTAAAAAAGAATCAAGGTTATCATATTATATAATATTGTGAAGATTTTTACTTGAAGATCGTTTACTTAAATAATTAAAATAATTAAATAATATAATTAACAAAAGTTAAGTTATAAAAATAAAATAAAAGTTAGATTAAGTAAGATTAATTTAAATAATAAATAAATATTTATATTATAATTGTGAAGATTTTACACGACGATCATCGTTTAATTATTAAATAAAATTAACAAAAATAAAAATTAGGTTAGGTTAAATAATTGATAAATATTTACAAAAAAAAAAATCAAGGTTATCATACTATATAATATTGTGAAGATTTTTACTTGGAGATCGTTGTTTATTTAAATACTTAAAATTAACAAAAGTTAAGTTATAAAAATAAAATAAAAGTTAAGTTAGGTTAAGTAAAATTAATTTAAATAATAAATAAATATTTATAGTATAATTGTAAAGATTTTATACAACGGTCAATTAAGTTTAATTATTAAATAAAATTAATAAAAATAAAAATTAAGTTAAGTTAATTAAAAAAATTAATTAGGTTAGGTTAAGTTAATTTGTAAATACTTACAAAAAAAAAGTCAAGGTTATCATGCTGTGTAATATTGTGAAAATTTTACTTGACAGTCATTGGTTATTAAATAGTTAAAATTAATAAAAATAAAAGTTCAGTTAGGTTAAATAAGATTAATTTAAATAATAAATAAATATTTATAGTATAATTGTGAAGATTTTATATAACAATATCAATTATGTTTAATTATTAAATAAAATTAATAAAAATAAGAGTTTAAATTAAGTTAAGTTAGGTTAAGTCGTCACGTATAGAATAACCTACTGTCGATAATTCATTCGATTCGTATCGAATCGAAAATTAATGAATTTCACTCGTACTTGAAACATTTTCAAATGATTAATTTTCTCGAGGACAAAGTCTCGAATTTTATTACACTTTTCTCCTTATTTCTTCATAAGGAATCATCCTATTTCCTATATTTATACATATTATTCTGTCTCTATATAATAATTAAAACATATCTTTATGTTAATTCTATACTTGATATATCTTCATATTAATTCCATTTCTACTAGTTTATATTTCGAAAAAAAAAAAAATCTAAATTTTTGAAAATTGAAAAAATCTAATTTGAATAAGAATAATATACATATACAAGTATAAGCAATCGTTTAAGAGTAAGATGAAAAAAATGGAATGTCGACTTAATTGACAGCTCGTTAATAGCTCGCTCGACAAGAGTATTTATTATCGAGATTCGAAATGAGTCGATCGTTTCCATTGTGGATAAGAAAATTATTCTCTGATTAACCATGAACGTGAATAAATAAAATCGTATTTCGTATCATAGAATATGCGTGTTCTACGTTTTTACAGCTCGAAAACGTCAGATTTGTTCTCACGAGACAAGTATAATATATTAACGTGTCATGACAGTCGAGTATGCGTATAATACGATCAAATAATGGAAATCTAGATTTTTCATTTTTTCTTTTTTTTAATACGATTACAACGATTGCAATAAAACACGTATATCTAATTAAATAATTAACATGTGCCATGTATACTTATTTAATAGCACTTCAATAGTAATATCACCATTATTGTCCAATTTTTTGTTACCTGTTAATAATACCTGCTAATTTATTAATACCAATGAGGAAATTATATACGTGTGTACAATTATCATGTTATTTTTAATAAAATTACTATTTTTAAAAAATAAATAATATAAATTTCTTCTTGCTAAAATAATTTCTTTTCTCTTCCAATCATTTCCAATCGAATTAAGATTAATTTCACTTGTTAACTAGGTTTACTTAGGACATTTCTTATTTATCTATATCTATCTATGGACAAACGTCAAATTGATATCACAGTATTCAGAGATTAGAAGAAAATAAATTCGGAATATATATTTGTCTCATCAATTGGATAAAAATCAGCACGAAACGTGAACGATTTCTGCAATTTTTCAAATTTTCAAATTTATTATGGCGTCCCGCCGTAATAAAACCTAGCGTTAAAATCGAGTTACCACAGCTTAGAGAAAGGTGCATATCCATAATTTTTTATAGTTCTTCGTGGAAAATTTCATCAAAAATTCTAACGAAAATCTCTAGTGTTAACTAAATTTAACGCGATCTCGAAATATTGGCCGATGATGGTGGCGGGCTCCGCAGAGGAATTCGTAAAAGTGCGGGAGGCGGCGAGGCGAGGAGGCGTCCCGTTACGCGAGTCACTCGGCGAGAGCAAATTAAAAAGCGGAAGCAGCCCGATTTCGTGCGCAAGCCCGTTCGAGGATTTGAGGCTTCCACGGTGCGAGAGTCGTTGTAACGAGCCGTCGAGATGCGATAACACGAGTTTCCATATAGCTCCTTCGGGGGAGGGTCGAAATTAACCCATCGCCACTTATGAGATATATTGATTGTCGAGAGGATTTTCGATTTGAATTTTGTAAACAATTGATCGAATGGACGATTGTGGAATGGAGTGGTGGTAAGTATTCTAGGATTTGTTTTTTCAGATTTTTTTTTTTGAGAGAGAGAGAGAAATAAAAAAAAGAGGAGAAGAATAGTAAAATTAGAAAGAAAAAAAAAAAGAAGAAAATTAGTTGTGAATATGATACAAGTTGGAAGATTGTCACAATTGAGTCAATTGTAATTTGTAAATTAATCGTAAATTGTTTGAATAGGAGAATTTAATTGATAATTCTCAATAATTCTCTCTTTAGATATAATCCTAGGTTTAACGAGAATTAAGATATTATTTTAAATATTCTAATTAATCGAGGAATGGCTAATTCTAATTAATTTTCTTTTTCATTTTTATTAAATTTCATATAACATTATAGTTCTTCTTCAAGTTATTTCCTCAAGATTCTTTGGAATATACTTTCCTTTTCGTGTTCTTTCGTTTCCTTGATCGTTATGCATACGCCGTTTTGTGAATCACGAAACACGAGAAGATGAATCAATGAATAATAAAAAGGGATAATTTTATCTTCATTATGCATATAAACAAAGTTGGAGGATGTACATCAAAAATAATATTGATTTTTAAAGGAATTTAAAGGAAAAAAAAAATAGACAAATATTTGAAAATTATTAATTTTTCTTCAGTAAATACATATTTTAATAATAAAATGAAATAGTAATGAATTTTATGAATAAAATTGGACAAGGATTGTTATGAATTTTTCAATGGTAAAGTATATGATAATTTTAAAATATAGATATGTAATCTAAGCGATTTCAAAAGTTGAGTGGATGAATATATGTATTAAAATATTTGAATTAATTTGATTTTGCAATTATTTTTTCTTTAAAGCATAAAAATTAATATACATATCAACTAATAACTAGTATTCAAGAATTAACAAATTATGTTTTTTTTCTCAAATGTATATATAGATAAATACATATGTATCAGAATACTGGTAATTACTTTAGTATTAATTAAAATTCTAGAAATATTAGAATCTCAATTTTTATAAATTTTTTAAACTCATAGAACATATAAGTTCTTTTTTCATCATAAACATTACTTTTTTTCTTTTTTTATTAACTTCAAGTTACAATTACATAATAATGTTTTACTTTAAAAGTAAAATTGAATAAAATTATAATAATAATATTAGAAGACATATGATGCCAATATTTACTTAAAAATAATAAAAACTCACATATAAGTCTTTTTTCATCATAAACATTATTTTTTTATTAACTTCAATTCATAATGATATAACAATGCTTTACTTTAAAAGTAAAATTAAACAAAATTATATAGCTTATAAAAGTTTACACTTTCAAATTCAAAATATCAGAAGACATATGATGCCAATATTTACTTAAAATATTTACTTAAAAATAATAAATTCTTAAAACTCAGAGAACATGTTCTTTCATCATAAACATTACTTTATTTATTACAAATTCTTTTTTCATCATAAACATTACTTTTATTAACTTCTTTCTGTTTTTATTAACTTCAAATCACAATTATATAACAATGCTTTACTTTAAAAGTAAAATTGAACAAAATTATATAGCTTATGAAAGTTTATACTTTCAAATTCAAAATATCAGAAGATATATGATGCCAATATTTATTTAAAAATAATAAGTTCTTAAAACTCACAGAACATGCAAGTTCTTTTTTCATCATAAACATTACTTTTCTTCTTTTATTATTAACTTCAAGTCACAATTACATAATACTGTTTTACTTTAAAAGTAAAATTGAACAAAATTATAATAATAATATCAGAAGATATATGATGCCAATATTTATTTAAAAATAATAAATTCTTAAAACTCACAGAACATGCAAGTTCTTTTTTCATCATAAACATTACTTTTCTTCTTTTTTTATTAACTTCACAATGATATAATAATGCTTTACTTTAAAAGTAAAACTGAACAAAATGATATAGCTTATGAAAGTTTATACTTTCAAACTCAAAATATCAGAAGACACATGATGCCAATATCTACTTTAAAATTACTATTTTTACAATGTTGACATTTTAAAAATCTATTTTCGAGTAAATACTCTAAATTTTAAGTTTAAAATACAAGAAGACAATTCGAGATTGCCAATATTTACTTCAAAACATTATTTCGTCATTTCAAAAAATCTTACTTTAGAGTAAACATTACCCACATCTCGAAAA